TGTGTGAATTCACACACTTTGGTGGCTTCCCTGAATATAATTCTGTTCCAAGCAGCTTCCAAATCTAGATATGATTTATTATACACTGCTCTATCAGTGACAGCTAATATGGGGTAATGATTAAAGGCAGTGGGCTTTTAAAAGCAGGGGACTTTTCTCGAACAAATAATCATCAAATATACCTAGAGACAAGCATGTTTATAATCAAAAGCTAACATGGGTTTGTCAAAAACAGATCATGCCAGACAAATCTTACTGCATTCTTCGATGATTACATGAATGAACCAGCAAACTGTTGTGGACAACATTTATTTGGGCTTCAATAAGGCATTTGATAAAGTAGACCACAACCTATTACTCAATAAGATAGAAAAATATGTGTCAGATAGTATCACCACCAGATGGATTAGTAATCATCTCAAACTGTAGTCCTTAATGGAATTGCATCTACATGGCAGGAAGCATGCAGAGCAGAGGTGGGTTCCTACAGCTTCGGCCAAATATGAGTAACTTGGTGGCCTGGGTCGCTGGAACCGGCAGTGACCCAGGTTGGCCATGCCCCCGAACCGGTTCTCTCAGCGGTGCCATAGGCGGCGCCATATTGTTTTTGCCTTCTGTGCATGCGCAGAGGTACCGGCAGCCAGAACCACCCCTTGCTCGATCCTACTTAGGAGCCTCAATTCACTCGTGAGCACCATTGGCCTTTTTCCCTGCCTCTCCCGATCAATGTTGCATATGAGTAAACTGCAGCTAGGATCTCCCATGTGTTGCATGCTCGAAAACGGCACAGAAGCGTGGGCGAAAGCTGGGAGAGAGGTGCAACACGTGGGATGGGATCTGGACAGCCCTGTGGCCCGGCTCAGCATGCTAGCAGGAGCAGGGTGCTGTGGCTGCAACTGCGGGGAAGGGTTGTAAGGTGAGAAGGGGCGCTTCTATGGCTGTCACAGCAGCCACCTGGGCGAACTGCTCCCCACCTCCCCAGACCAGGCTTGCAGCTCGCGCCAGACCGAGGCCACAGCCACCACTGCTCCATTTCTCTGCCCAGCTGGCGGGAGCCGCAGTGACACTAGTTATGGCTGAGAGCTTTCTTTGCCAGCTGGCCACCAAAAAGTTCTCCCTTTTAAAAGCCAGTAAAGAAAAACCTCCCAATTTCGAGAAGTTGTTAATTGCCTCGCACTCACGAGAAGGTTTTCTTTACTGTGCAAGGTTTTTCTCTGCACAAAACAGCTGAGAGACTCTTACAGTGGGGTGCAATTTGGGGCCCCCTACCCCAAGGCAAACCATCAACCATGGTTAGATTCTAAAATTAGACTCTTTTTTAAAGAAAACCCTGAAAAAGCCACAAGATCCGGAGCGAAGGGCTGTCGGTCTTTTTTTTCGTGGTGGTGGTGGAATCCTCAGAGTGCCTTTATTTTGTTTCGTGTGCTCCCTCACAGGCAGCTTCTTTTTCTGGCCCACAAGCAGAGAACAAGGTTGCTACTTGGCCCCCCTTCCCCCAGTGTCCACATTGCTGCCCGCTGCCAACTCAACTCCGGGCAGAATGGGCTGTGGAGAGTGCCAGGTTGATCAGGGTGGCATGCTGCTCTTAGAAGCTGCACTCGGCCGGCTCCCACCAGTGGTCGGCGGCTGAAGCGGTCTAGGTGCAGCGAGCGCTGCAGGGCCAGGAAATGCTGCCAGAGCCAGGACAGGTCCACGGAGAAGCACCGTGGGCAGCCCAGCACCCCGAAGATGTCTGCGTGGGGCTCCTCTAGCTGCAAAGCACGGCACGAGGGGCAGAAGCCCCCGAACCCAGGGGGGCAACACAGTTCCAGCAGCAGCAGTGCCCGACCGCCTGGGATTGGGATGGGGACGGGGTGGCAGACATTGTGTGCGAGGGCCCCACGCAGGCCCGATCCCAGGCAGCTGGGCGCTGCTGCTGCTGGAGCTTTGTTGTTATCTTCAATATCTTCATAAATGATTTAGATGAGGGGATAGAAAGGGAACTAATCAAATTTGCAGATGACATCAAGCTGGCAGGAATAAAATCAATAAAAAATAAAGGTCAAAGACCCCAAATCTGTGACCTTTGATCTTTATTTTTTATTGATTTCATTGTAATTTCATTGCTGTTGGATAGTATCAGCTTTACCAGGGAGATCAGACAGAAAACATACCAGATGAACTAATTCTAATTTATTGTAAAGCTACATTAACCAAATCTTGCAAGTCTGAAAGTACAATTCTCCCACTATCATCTGTATAACCTGAGAATTTAGGGAGGGTTCCTTTGGAGCCTCTTGCTCTGCTCACTGTGCAACTGTGGGCTATGCCTGCTCTTATTGGAAGGCTCTTCTCTAGGCAACCTCTTTTCACATGATCCCCCAAGGTCTTTCCCTCATATCATTATAGGAACATATAAATTCAAATAAATATTTTAACTTCTTTGATTGTTGTGAGCTGCTCAGTCATTTCAGAGTTGAGTGGTATACAAGTATTAAGTAAATAATCATTTTATTTGTGTATAATCTCAAAATCATACTGGTAAAAATAAGGAAGTCAAATCCCTCTTACTTTGACTTGTCAATCTTCTCTCTCTCTCCATGCCATTTTCTTTTGATTTGGCCCTCTCTAAAGTTGCTGGCTCCTTCCTCGGAATTGGGTAATTCACTGTAGAACCCATGGCAGGTTCATCACTTGTGCCGGTTTCTGTAGTTCTCTTCTGCTCCAAACTCTCATTGAGCAATCCCTTGTGTTTTGCAAAAACCAGAAGAATCTTTGGTGAGTGCTGACTTCTGAAGTGAAGGTCTGATGGCTATTGAAAAGTGTGACATCGGAGATGGAGTCACAATTGTGGCTATAATTTGGGGTTTAGAAGATTTTGGCCTTCTGGACCATTGTGTTGGATGTGATTGGCCAGAATGGGGCAGGGGGCACTCAGTTCCCCTGCTTTATTCTGAATGCTCCTTCACTTAATTCAGGCTCCCTCTCCTCTTCTGCAGGATACAAACCACTCACTCTGCCTGAGCGACTTAAGCCTTATGTCCACAGATTCAGAAGTGCGGGATAATTCAGATCCAGTAAGCATTTCTTGCCTTTGGTTATAATAGCCCAGTAGAGGGTGTCTAATATATAAGTAGCCTCTTGCCATCTCTTTGGAGGAGGACCTATGCTCCCCAGCCACTGATATTTGTCTACCATGCTGCAGAAAGCAAGCTGGCTTATTGGATTTCTCCAGCAGAGTACTGCAAACAGCCTGCTCTTTGTTGTCTTACCTGGGCCTAGAGCCAGTGCTGGCTGGTGCTGAGCTTGGGCGCCAGATCACTGAGCTGGGATGCCTTATGACTGTTCCCTTTATGTAGGCACATGGACAAGACCTGAGTACAATCTCACCAGCAAGCATCTTTGAGTCGATGTTCCAGAGCCCGGAGCCTCCTCCAAATCAGGAAGACTGTCAGCACACAGGTACAAGTTCACTTGGCAACATCATATTAGCAGTGATCCTCATATCTGAGCAGAGTGCCCAAGGCTCAAGAAGAGCTGGCTTGGCAGCCCCTCAGAGCCCAATGTAGTTAGAGAAAGTGTAACTGGGAATAGGAGAGATTCCATGTGCTTTGCATCTAATGCTCTGATGAAGAAAGGTCTTCTTTGGAAGCAGTGAGGAGTCTTTGAGCTGGACTGCCTGGAAGGAAAATGTTGCCAGAGACCGACTGATGTGGGATGTATTGCCTGCCTTACCAGAGCAGTGTAGGCACAGTAGTGTGTCCTCTTGGAAGGAAGCAGAGCAAAGTTTAAGAGAGGGGCATCTTTCCCATCCAGCTGTGAGAGCATGATGGTCCCTATGCTTACTTGACAGATGCCTTGATGGGAGATTTTGATGGCAATACCCAGCTAGCTCCAGCAGCCCAGCCAGCATCAGCAGAGACTGCGCCCTTATCTCTGCCGCTTGTTCTTCAGCTTGGCATCTCTGAGCCTTCCCTCCAAGCACTGCCTTCTGCATCCACGGGTGCTCAGCCAGCAGCGTACGGCACCCCTGCCAGTCTCCTGCAGCCTCCAGAAGTGCCTCCTTCTAACAGTACACTTTTGGCAGCCAATCCCCAGGGCTTCCTGCACCACCTTCAGAGCTCTGCACAGCCCACGGGGGCTGGGCTTCCTGGAGTCTCAGAGGTCACCTCTGGACCAGCAGCTGCAAGTGCCTCTGAGGTCCTGCCTAGCAGAGTTCAGACTGTGCCTGTGGGAGGGAGCCCTGCGCTACCCAGCAATCCCAGGGTTACCATCACCCCCTCACAAAACCCAGCCATTTTCCAATCCAGCATCATCATGGGCGAACAAAACCTCCAGTGGATTTTAAATGGTGCCACTGGGACACTGCAGAACCAGGAACAAATGGTAAGTCCCAGAGGCTTGAGGGGGTTGTGTAGGATTACAAGATCTCAGAGTATTCTGCAGTGATCTTTATAATACTATGGGGAGCTGCAACCTCTCTCCTCACAGGCTAAACCCGACATCCCCCCCCCCTGCTTTTCTTTCCAAGCCACAGCCTCCTGTTGTTGAGAAGGTCTTCTTCACAACTGCTCTCCCTGTGGCTGGTGGTGCAGGTAAGCCACATGGCCTGAAATCCACATTCTTTGACCTCCCCCCCAAAGAAAATCATCTGCTGAGAGTGGGAGAATTGGGGTGTGTGTGTCTGACCACGGGGTCTGGTCTTGAGCCATGTGATTTGAGACTCTCTGTATCTCCCTCCTAAGGGAAGCGCAACTGATTGATAGGTGTCCTTACTAATGCAAAACGGGCCCCCACCATACACTCTGAGAGAGGGAGGGGAAATAAGGGGCTTTGCTAAGGAGGGCAGCAAAGCTGTGGGTTGAAAGAGGATATTTATTTTCATGAGCATGAAATTGATGCTGTATAATCCAGTTTCTGCCTTGGGAAGAACAGCCAAGCTCAGGCTGTTCAGATCTTAGCAGCAACTCCAAGTTTGCAAAGCTCCCTAGAGGGAGGCAATGTTGCTAGCTAGCAGCAATGATGGGCATGGAAATAGCCTCCTAGAAGAGGCTTTTCTCTGAGCCTGGCTTCATGGACCATTCTCAGAGAAGCAACTGGGGCCTCTCCATGGAGTGATAGCTTTCTCTCTCTCTCCAGGGAGTCCGGTCCAGCAGATTGGCCTGAGTGTGCCTGTGATCATCATCAAGCAGGAAGAGGTGTGCCAATGCCAGTGCGCCTGCCGAGACACAAGCAAGGACAAAGCTGGCACCAAAGGCTGTGCCTCCCTCCTCTCGAAGACCTTGGGGAACCCCCCGGCACCAGGGCCACAGGACTTCCCCAGGACGGTGACCAGTACGTCCACTGCTACTGCTAGTTGTTCATCTGTGTTGCCTCCTGCTGATCAGCAGAGCACCCTACTGGGCCACCTGCCTGGCTCCCAGAAACAGTCCCTAAGTGCCATGGAGGCCTCCTGTTTTCTTTCTTTCCAGAGCTTGGAGACAGCCTCTCCTCTCTTGCAAGGGGAAGAGAGTCTTGCCTTGGGCAGCAACTTCCCTTAGGGAAGCCCTGGAAAGCAGCAACAGAGATGGGTGAGGGCCAGCTGCCCTGGAGCGTGTCATGGGATCCTTTCTCCCACGAGGAGACGCAGCCATGCTGGCTCTGCCTCATTTGTCACTTTGGCTCATAGCAATGTGAGCGTAGGAACTGGTCACTTTGGAAGGAGGGGTGGGCGGCCAGGCTGCACCTTGCTTTCAGGAGGGTGGAATGGAGTGCTTCTAGGCCTGGGGGTGATTCAGGGTAGGGACCCTGTAAGCAGGGTGTCGGGAAAGAAGTCAGTGTTTGTGTGAAAACAGGGAGACGGATGGGGGTGCAGTGGGACCTCTAGCAGCAGCAGTAAAACGTAAGAGATGCCCTCCCCACAGCCTCCTCTCTGCTAGCTGTAGAAGACAAATGGTGCGCATCACGATCAGACTTTGCACATGAGTAAAAGGGCTGTTGGCTCTTTCATCTTACCTTTCTGTCCTTCTTGGCAACCAATTGCACTGCCTGGGTGTTTACATGAATTCAGGGGCTAAAAGGATTTGCACTGTTCAGCTTTATCAGAATGACACTCTCAGCATGGAGCAGCTCTTGCTAGAAAGTATTCCTCTCAGAATGGCTTACTTTAGGGGGTTCAGAGGGGTGCTCAGGGGTCTCGGTGTTGGTCCAGTGGAGACTGAGGAGCAATCCAGCTTGGGCTGGCAAAGCAGACTGTCTTTTCTTCAGCAGACTATTGGGGTGCAGTAAGACAGCCTACCTGCCCCATCGGGGAAGGGCGCCTTTTCTCTCTTAACGTACTCAGGGTAAAATCCCAGCATAGAATTCCTGGAAGGTTTGGGGAAATCTTCTTTCTAAACTTTTGTACATGTTTTTATTTTGTCACATCCACTATATTTGGATTTTCTAGTAATCCTCTTTTGTTCCCAGGACAAATGCCCATTCCTTAGAATGCCCTTCCAAGAGTTTTTCTCAAGTTGAGAGGCAGGCAGGGTGGTCAAAAAGCAGAAGTGGAAAAAACAGGGTCATTGCCGTTGTGACATGGCTGTGGAGTGGAGGCAACTGCAAGGCCTTTGAAGGAACCTTGCAAGTTCTGGTGCTTCTGCAGGAGGGGGACAGGCCGGCTGGTTGCTGCTTTTCTGGGACTAGTCCATGGGCATTTCTGATGCTTCGCTCCCTCATAAGTTAAACACAGACAAGAATCTCCTGAATCTCGCCCTGTGCCTGGGAGGCGTGTGTAGTTAAGGTGCTTCTTGTTGACTTTGGAGAGCTACTCTACTGTCAGTTGGGGTGGGGCTTAGACTAGCATGGATTTTGATCACGTGTTATAACAGTGTTCCCTTTGCTTGATGCTGCCTGTTGGAAGGGTGTCTCCCTCCCCCCCCCCACTTTGGGAGTTAACTGATCCTGGGGACTGAGGGTTGAGTAACTTAATTGTACAAAGACTCCAGGAAGTAAAGAGTTCCAGTGGACTTCATTTCAGCTGTGTATTGAGGGTGGGAGAAAGTTATTAGAGCGGGGCAGTTTTCTCGGGGATATGGACCTCATCTCTCTGACTTCTCAGCAGTGATTATACAGGCTGGGGAATTCTGAAATTGTAGTTCATGAACATGGAAATGACTAAGTTTTAGAAAAACCTGCTCTAGAGTCTAGTGTTTTCTGGCAGTTGCTTCTGTTATTTAAGTTTAGGGAAGGAATATAGTTCACTGGGGCTGATCTAGTTATACTTGCTGGCCTCTAAAATGCACTTTAATTCTCTTTCAGCTGATGGCTGCAATATCATTTGTAAGTAACTCTTCACAGTCCTTGGGTATTCTTTTTTTGTTCTGAGTAAAAAGTATGTGATGTGCAGAAAAAAGTACTTAACTTCAGTGCAATACATTTAGCTAGAAATATCCACATGCACTCTGTGAGTGTGGTTATATGTATGTATATGTGCGTGCATGCGCACAAGTTTGTTTATGTGGGAGCGATGGAAGGGGCACAAAACCATCACTCTGCCCTTTTCTGACTTATGCATCTTTAAGCAAATGTCCAGTCTATGCAAAACCTTCATTAGTAGCCTGAGCTGAACAGACTTGGTCAGATAAGAATCTTTCCAGTTTTGGTCACTGCTTGGAGACCTTCCCAGCTCTGTCCTGCTCCTCACAAGGAAGAGAAGGAACAGGCTGCTCTTTGCTGGTCATGAAGCTGTTCGGAAGACTCTGCTCCTGCTTTCCCGAGTGCCCTGCCACCACCTGCCTGCCTTATTTCCAAGACACAAGACGTTCCAAAATTTCAAGGTACCAACAAGAGTAATTAATCTTGGAAGAGATGGCAGTAACAGTGGTGAGTTCTTCTTTATTAAAGCACAGGAAATCTTGTTTGGAGCATCTATTGGCCCGGGATGTAAATGCTACTCTCCTATATCCTTTGCGTTTGCTACACGTCTAAAAATAGCATCTTCTGTTTTTAGCCAATGTTTCCTGCTAGTGAGGGCTGGTTTTTCAACTTCTGCATTGTTTATTGTTTCTAAGCTTTGGAGTCTGTTCTGCACTGAAAAATGCCATGGAAACTGAATATATTTATGTATGGTTTGTCTGTGTGTGTGTTGGTGAAAATGGGTGAAAATGGTATGTTATCCACACTGTGTTTTCAATAGTGTGCACGCCGGCCAAACCCAGTTTCTATGCAGTGGACACTTTCAAGTAAATGCATTATATTTTCCTTATCACTTGGGTGTTTTAGTTTTTCTTCCTACATACAGTCTTCATCAGTAAAGTCCAGGGAAGAATGATTATTGTTGTTGTTCTTATTTTAAAATATGTAATTTGAAGTTTTTTCTTTCATTTTGCAGTGTTATTTCTTTCCAAATAGTAAGATACTGGCTTAGATCATGTGGGCAAAAAGCAAAGTACCATTCTATCTAGCCACAGTCAGGGTTAGGAGTGGAGCTAAATGTGAGACTCTACTGAATATCAGAAAACAGTCTTTCATATGCACCTTTTCCTGTCGGGCAGAAAAACATCCAACTTGTGCAAGATGGAGGGAGAGAAAACCCTTTAGTTGAAGAGAAGTGGTTTCCTTCCTTTTTTTCAGCAGGCACTTTCCCACAAAGAATGGTTGATTGCTTCCTAGATTAAGGAGCCTGGAGACTCCAAAGGTTCTCAGATAATTTTTGAAAGTGCCTTCCTGGGTCCTGTTCACTTTTGGACTGTAATCTAAATCTTCATGATCAGATTCTGACTGGGTTTCATGAAAGGTTTAGCCAGTTTATGAAAGGCTTAACTACTGCAATGCACAACTGCTACAGTTTGGTTAGTCTTAGTTTGGTAATTGGTCAGCCCATTGTGTTAATTCATGATTTGAGGTGGTCTGTGAATTGGGTGAATTGAAAGATTAGGTTATGCGTGTTGTGGGAACCCTGCCTCAGTATTGCTATGGCTAAACTCCACAACCTCAGAGGACATAGTGGGGAGAATTTGAAGTAACCTGTTTCTCTCAGGAGTACCTATACTGTGTTTAAGCACATTTAGTTTAACTTTGAAACCTGGGATCAAATATCTGTGCATTGAGTGATGTGAAGATGCTCACTATAGGTACAGTACTTCCAAAGGAAGAGCTTTCCAAAACACCAGAAGAATAAACAAAGTTGTATTTTTGAAGAATGTAAAATGTGAAATAAGGTTTGCTACCTGCTTGTTTGTATAAAATTAATATTGTACTTTGATATATCTGCAAGGAATTAGAAAATAATTTTAATTGAAGGCAATATTAGTAGCAATTAAATATTAAATGCTTATTTAAATGTTGTGCCTATGGAAGATTTCTTTCTTCAACAAATGAATTATTGGGAAGAAGGTACATGCCAGTTCCCATGCCATTAACTTAGATGGCAGAAAGCGTGCCGAGCCATTCTATGAGCCTCCAGTCAATAAAAGGGGGAGCACTGACATTGGACTACAAAACAACTAAAGTTGGAACACTTTTTGCGTCTGCTTGAATAGAGAGCAGCAGGATATCCTGATTCTTTTTTCACCTGCTCCTTCCAGTGTGCCTTTGTGGGGGCTAATTTAAATGGCTGAAGTATCCGAGGCCATCTGGACCAGAATCTCAGAGCCAGGTGCAGCAGGAGGCTGGAGTCAAATGGGGAGTGGGAGGAATCAGAGCACTCATTTCTTATACGGAGGCCTCCGCTGTTTTCTTTCATAGTATTTTCATTTCCAATTTCTTTTACTCTTGCAGAATATAAAAAGCAGCAGTTTAATAGAATTATAGGGCTGCAAGGGATCTTGGAGGTCTTCTAGTCCAGCAGGCAGGAGACCTTATACCATCCCTGTCAATATTTTCTTGAAAACCTCCAGCAATAGAGCATCCACAACCCCAAAAGGCAAGCCTCAAGGCCCCTTATAATCTTTCTAGGACCTTAGCATCTTTTTTGTATTGTGGTGACCAGAGTTGGACTCCATATTCCAAGTGTAACTTCACTAGTGCAGCCTCTCTAGCTTTATACTATCCCTCTGCTGATGCAATCTAGGACTGCATTGGCTTTTTTGGTGGCTGCATAACACTGCTCGCTCATACTTAATGGTGGTCCATAGGACACCATCCCTTTCACAGTTACTACTGTTGAGGCTGGTACCATATATTCTACACCTGTACATTTAGTTTTTCCTGCCTAAGTGCAGAACTTTGCTTTTCTCACTACTGAGTTTCATCTTACATTGCTCAAGTCTGTCAAAGTCCTTCTGAATTTTGAGTCTATTTTCCTTAAAGCTTCAAGGAGACAACATAGAAATCCAGCATTTGCTGTGATTGCCACCTTGCCTCCTAAATAGAACACTGTACTGGATTAAGCCAAAACACTGTTTTGGATACCAAGAAAGATAAGAAGGCTTCTCGGCCAAATACTCAAATGCAAGCGAAACTACCTAAGTCCTTTTTTGATATGATGGATGATTTTGAACTGAGAGATATTTGGCGAGAAAGAAATGCAGAAGAATACGACTTTACCCTCTTTTCTGATAGACACCAATCTTTTTCTAGAATTGATTTCATACTAACTACCAATGATTTGCTTTCTAGGGTAAAGAGGACAAAGATATGTGCCAGAGTTTTATCAGATCATAACCCTGTTTGGATGAAGTTGGGAGGTGTGATGCATGCAAGAAGGTCTTGGAGACTGAATGAAAATTTATTTAGATATCAGAAATATATTAATGAATCTAAAAAATTGCTAACAGAATACTTTGTTTTTAATATGAATAAGGGTACATCTATGGAAATTGTATGGGATTCAAGTANCCACCGAGCCATGCCCACCAAGTCATGCCACGCCCACCGAGCCATGCCCATAGAATTGGTAGTAAAAAATTTTGAATCCCACCACTGGCTGAGAAGGAGTGACTGGTTCAAAGTCCCTCTGCTGGACTAGAACTCACAGTCCCCTGGTTTCTAGCCTGCTTCCTTAGCCATTAGTCAAATTGTCTCTCTTTGGTTAAACAAATGTGGTCTTTAACGGATAGATACACACATACCCCATGGCAGGCACAATAAATGCCAGCACTGGAATTGCTGGCTTACAAGTAGAGAATTTACAGTGAAAAGAAATTAGGATAGCAAGAAAAAGAGGGTGAGAGAAAGCGCTAAAGGTCCATAAGAAAAATGCCGGAATCCACATTCAGGGAATATTTTGTTTAGAAAAAACATGTAGATTTTGTGACTTCAGCGGTAAAGAATTTCCCTTTCTCCTTTGCTTCACCTCCATTTAATGAAGAGTGCTTAAGAAATAATTCTTGTGATCTTTTTTATAGTTTGGATAGCCCTAAAATGGTATTGGCCACCTGTGGTTTCAAGAAATGCAGGAGATTGAGATAGATTGTTCAGAGGCCCTGAGGAGATACTGTAATATCAGTGTAATAGAGAAAGAAGCCCAGTGAGCAGAACGTACTGAAAATGCTTTGTCTAATGCAATCCAGCCTGCAAACACAGACAACACAGACAAGGGAAGAAAGCAAAGTAGACTAAGCTTCAGATATTTCAAAGCATTCCCCCTAGAGCGTATTCTTGCTAGCCGTGAACTCAGCAGCAGCAACAACAATGAGATCTAGACATGAAGCAAACAGAAGGGGTTTTATTTTAAGTTCATGATTTCCTAATCATGATACAAAGTCAGATTTCTTCTTAATAAGAAAAGATGTTTATTATCTAGCTTTGCATTCCTTCTAAGAAAGCAGAGCTGCATTATCTGGGCTGCAAAAATTCAGATATCCATGTTTATTTTTTCTTTCTTTTGCAAGCTAGCCCATGGCAGCCCTAATATAAAAATTAATTCTCTAGAGATCTCCCCCCTCTCTCCTGAAATCTGCTAGTTCTATGTCAAGGTGGAAGGAGAGTCACACACTGATTTTATTGGGAGCCAAGCACATTTGTATAATTGCTGTCATTAAGGTACGTAAGAGCCGCAGTGGCACAGTGGTTAGAGTGCAGTACTGCAGGCTACTTCTGCTGATCACTGGCTGCCTGCAATTTGGCAGTTCAAATCTCAGCAGGTTCAAGGTTGACTCAGCCTTCCATCCTTCTGAGGTGGGTAAAATGTGGGCCCAAATTGTTGGGGGCAATAGACTCTGTGAACTACTTAGAGAGGGCTGTAAAGTACTGTGAAGCGGTATATAATTGCTATTGCTAAGTATTCAAAGCATCTCTACACTTGATAAGATAGAGCCAGTTGGGTTAAGATACCAGGTCAGAAACCAGGAGACTGTGAGTTCTAGTTCTGCCTTAGCCATGGAAGCCAACTGGGTGATTTTGGTCCAGTCACTCTTTCTCAGCCAAACTCACCTCATTGGATTGTTGTTGTGGGGAAAATAAGAGGAGGAAAGTAGGGATATGTTCACTTTGTTGAGTTATGTATAAAAATAATAGAATTGGATTTTTTTAAAAAAAATCTAAATAGAATAACTAAATAAAACTAGATTTATTAGTTTCAAAACTAATAACCCTTCTACTTATTCTCCTGTTCCGTTTATTTTGCTCATGAGGTAAACATCAAACATTTTTCTCAGTTCCACTTTTTCTTTTTTTTTCTTTTTCTTTTTGCTTTGTCATCTTGCTGGATGAGGAATTAAATAGACATTTTTTGGTAGTTTTCAACTGGCCTAAATGAGAAGAAATCTAAAACTATGTATACCTTATATTAAAGGTGTATTATACTAAATATTAATATAACTTAATATTATTATATCTTAAATCTTTTTAAATATTTTTTTTCTCAGAGTGACAGGACATTATGCTATCAGATTTCAACAAAAGGGGCTCTTGAACAAAACATTGTAGGAGGCCATATGTCTGTGATGGCAAACCTATGGCACACGGGCCACAGGTGTCACGCAGCACTCCCTCTGTGGGCATGTGAGTCATCACCATAGTTCAATTCCACCACGCATGCACGTGGGCCTCCCGCCAGCCAGCTGGTCATTAGGTATCTACCATGTATGTGGGGAGATGCACGCACATGTGGGGGGGACATGTATGTGGGGGGTGGGGCACATGCAGGGGTGCATGTGTGGCAGCATACATACATGGGTGGATGGATGCATGCAGGGTGCGCACACATGCATTGCATTTTGGGGGTTCTAGCGCACACAGACACATTCATGAGAATGCTGGGCATTCGATCCAGAAAAGGTTAGTCATCACTGCCATGTGTGATTCTGAGAGTACAGGTTGTCCACCATTGGTTTAAGGCAAGGATTAGTGAAGATTGACTTATTCAGCTTTCTGGAAGCTTAGTTTTGACTGACTTTCTTTAAATGCATGAGACACTTCATCCTTCTTCAGACTAGTGGTTGCACTGTTATCATATCTAAAAATCCTATGCTGTTTTCTCATCTTTCTAAAGCCTAGCTGTCTCTTTTCATTCCAAGAACTACCATTATTGCTGGCAGATGTATGAGCTGGGATTATTTCATTATTTGATAATAGAGGAACAAGAAGTATAAACAAGAAGTGTGTTTAATTAGAAGTATGAATAATTAGAGTAGAATAATGTATCAAGTTTGGTAAACCTACATTCAGAGGTGCTTCGGGATAGAGCTAATTGCCTGGAGAGTAACAGTAGCTAGTGGAAGGTTTTCTGTTCCCTCTGATGTTAGAATGTGAGATTCTGTTCTCTATTGAAGGTTTCCGTTTCTTGTTGAGCTGCACCACCTGTGAATACTTTTCTGCCTATGTAATAAATTGAATTTATTTTGTTTGGCTTTACTAATTCAGTCCTCCTGCTTTCTGCCTCCCTTGTGTATTCAGATCCACAAATCTATTGCCCACCGAAGGAAGACAAACATATGTGTCTCAGGATTATGTTGCAAGATACAATCTGGGTCGATCACTGGGACCAAAGGTTTAGTTTTCCTAGCTTTCACACTCATGCTGGAGCCCATCTTCAGGGAACATCTTTATAACGGAGTGTGGGTCCACCCTTTTCTAAGGCAAAACCCCCATGCGATGTGACTCTGAGGAAAGGGAGATCTTCCCTTTGAGTAAACAGCTGGTTGTAAGGCCCATAGTAAACACTCCAGTTTTCTTCATTTCAAAATCTCCATGAAAACAGAGGAGAATGATCACAGAGGTTAATTGGTGGAGAGACTTAGGAGGTAGTTGAATAGGTGATTGAGATGGGGATATGCTGATCCTGCTAATCCTAAAGTAAAGGTAGTCTGTAACCATATTGTGACAGTTACATAAAGAAATCTAATTGAAAACAATAGCAGTGATGTGTAGGAACGCTGTTTCACTGACCTGAGCCTATGCTTTG